CTAATATATTTTTGGGTAATGGGTCTATATATATAGATAGGAAGAGAATATTCTTAATATACAGAAAGATAAAAAAAAGAAAACAGACGATAACACAAAACAATAAAAATGGCGACGCACATGCGCATATATATATATCAGTTCTCGTTGTTGTTATTTTTTTAATGTTGAACAGTTTATAGACGAAAATATTTTATCGTTGTTGAGCATACTGTTTTGGTTTTCAATAGATGTCATTGTCTTTTTGATGTTTTAAAAATGTCTAATATTTACATTAACGCAAAAGGTAAGAAATACAATCGTTCGTTAATCCGTCTATGCTTGATCATAATCAAAGATAATTACTCTCTACAATAAAGATGGTTTCTCAATTTTCTGTTAATTAAGATAGTGACCTTTTACATCAAAGTTTAAATGGAAACATCTACTAACATGATTAAGAATTCGTATCTAAATGAGAAACAATTGAGACTTTTTCCATATGCGATTTGAACTATTAAAGAAACTATTCGATCAGACTTTAGCATATACTCTGTTAGAATTTATCATTTTAATATTGTTGAAAAAATTTGATCGAGCTATTGTATAAGAACATTTCTAATGAAAAAGATGATCTTTTTAAACAAAATATAATAAAGTGTTTGGTGAAAATTCATTTCTCTTTCGTGAGTTTTAATAGTTCTCTATTTTTCTCCAAGGATTTTAAGTGTAAAAGATAAATTTCTTCTAGAAATTATGGATATTCATCGACTTTATTATCATAAAGATTTTCTAACACAATTTCTGTGTTGATATTCTCTTGTAGAATAAAATATTTTGTCCAATTAATATTATGAATATACACAAAAGGTTTTATTTTTCTTCTTCAATTCAAATAGTTTGTTCGTAGTACAGTAACAACAAAGAATATAAACTAAAAATTGCATTTTTTTTTTTCTTCTTTGCATTTATTTCTTATTATTTTCCCACCGCCCCATTTACTTTATTATTTGTACGCATTGCAATGCAATACATCATTTCCGTGTACTTTTCTATTCCAGCCCCCTTGTCATCGTCCATTTTGTGCAAATGAAGAAGATCATTTGAATTCATTTTTTTTAACACATTTTTTTTCTATACATGAATATAAAAAAAAAAAAAAAGAAATGAGAGAACACATCAAATTTCTTTATTATACAACGCACAATAGAGTTTAGCCGAGAGATGTCATGGTGTGTGAAACAATATGGAGAAAGAGGGGAGAATAAGAAAACCTTGGAAATTTGCACAGAGAGAGAGAGAGAGAGAGGGAGAAAAATTATACACGCGATGTGCACAGAAGTAACAAGAAAAAAAAGAATAAGATGATTTTTCTTCTTGTTGTTCAATTTTTTTATTGTATTTTAAAAAACTATCTGGTCTTTCGAAATTGCATTTCCTTCAGTTTCTTCTTTTCTTCCTTTCGCTTTTTCTCCGTATGTCTATGTGTTATTACGTACATCGACATTACAATATTATGTATATATTTTAATGGGAAAGAAGAAAAAAAAAAAAAAATGAAACTGGAAAACTGTTCTGTTCACGACTTTGACATGAAACATCAACAGCAGAACTAGCCAAATAGAGAACAAGTTTCTTTTAACTCTCATGTATGTGCGTGTGGGTGTGTGTTCATATCTATATGTATCATCGGATTTTCCGTAAAAAAAAAACTTTTTTTTTGTATGTATTTGTGACGTGGAAAAAAGCCCGTAAAAAAAAGGAACAGAAAAAATAATAACACCATAGAGAACGTACTACTGAACAACATAATAAAAAAAACCCAAAGGATTTTTGCGTTAGAAGTATTTTTTCTTGTGTGCTATTGTGAACATATTTCCAAGAGTACAGCAGACTATACATTTTTTTTTTTCTATCTTTTCATCGGACACGTACGTGCGCAAAAGAAAAAAATTATATACAGGTACGATATTTATCGATGTAGAAAACTTTGTCCTTGTGAAATATTGACTATTTTATTTTTATAATTAACGGATAATACTGATTATTTGTGTAAAAAAATTGTTAATGTACTTGTATTGCCAAAAAATCTTGATAAAATTATCTCAATTTTTGTTACTATTTCGTATTTTGTAATCTTTAGAAAAACTTAAGGTATGATACTTTTTTTATGAATGATCTATCCACAAAAATTTAGTCCTGTATTTTCCTAAGAGAATGAGACGTGATTATTGAGATTTATTTTGAGCGCGATGTTATATATAGCACTTTGTACAAGTATTCTCATCCTTGTAACTCAACAACTTGAATAGTTAACAAATTTAAATTTTATGCGAATGTAGACCTCATTATGTGCTGATTATCCTGAAGTTTTAGCTTATTTAGACAAGTAGTTCCCAAGATACATTTTTATTACTTTTACAGCTATCTTGTGGATGATAGTCATTTTTTCCATTAGATTAATTTCAAAAATATATGAATGACTTCATCCTGAGACTTTCTTCTAACCTAAATTTTTTAAGAAATAGTCTCTTATGTTTGCAGATTATTTTCCTAAAGTTTTAAGCTTAAGGACCGTACTAGACAAGATTTGAATTAAATGTTAATAGCAATACTGAAATATTTTGGTACAATAAGCTTGAGAAGCTAATAGTCATTATCTCTACAATGATATACATATCAACTTTGCACAATACTGACACAAAAATATAATCACGAATCTTTGCATTCGTTCATTTAAAGGAAAGCCTGACTTCAATTCAAGCGTTATCTGACGTATCAAAAATAGAATTTAAAAGAACAGACAGGTATACATATTAAAATTTATTAGTGGAATAGATGCTACGTTTGTGAAAGTATAATGCAAAGTTGATTGAGAAACGATTGAGCATTCCTATTTTTAAATCAAATTATAGATATTTTTGTGAAAATATAAACTAGAACTTGAGAAGCCAAACAGCCGGAGTGAGAATATTTTTTGTAGAATACTGTATAGTAGAAAGATATTAACAATGTCTCATTCATGAATAAATCAAGGTGGAACTCCTGATATCATCTCTTGAGTGATTTACTGATGTTACGATGGCTAATTGAAGCAACTTGGAAACGTAGAAGAAAATAAATAGTGTTGAAATTGTAGAAACGTTAGCTATTTATCGATTCACTTTGATAATGCCATCTAAACACAAATAGATAAATAAAATATCCAAAATAAAGAAGTTTCATTCTCACATACACGGGATGATTTTTTCTTCTTCTACTTCTCAATAATGTTCTTCTGCAAACGATCGTATAAATACAATGTTTGTTTTTGTTTTGTTATTGTACCATATAGTTAAGTAGTGATACTTTAACACTCAGACTACCCTTCCTAGTGACCAAAATCATCAAAACAGAAACTTCAAAGTCTTAATCACTAAAAATTTTAACTACAGTATATGTATGTTATCTGGATTATACCATTTATCATACGTGCATTGATTGGATGGTTGACTGGGTAAATGTATGTGATTCAATAAGACTTTGAATTTAATTCAATTTTTTCTTAAACAAGAAGGGTAAATTACATCTATACCATGAGCAATGAAAATAAAACTTGATAGCATCCCCCATATAGTTAATGTGTTTATAAGAGCCTATTATCACTGATAGTGGCAAATAATTTTTCTATTATCTCTGTAGAATTACAGTAATGCAATCGCTACAGCGGTGAATTTCGGCGGGTGACTATACTGGTGTCAGAAATTTCAATTCCATAGTATCTTTCCCATAGAAACTCATCAATCCCACATGTTTAAAAGTAGAAGTTTTCTGGACTGTGTTTTTTTTTTCAATTTTTTTTCAACACCAAAATTTTTTTACTAAATCCGCCGTCACCGAATCGCTAGTCATTTTTTTGTGCACAGATTGAACATGAACTTTTTGCCCATTTTTTTTTTGTTTTTAATTTTTATCGTACATATCTTTGTATAGCAAATTTTCGCTTCTCTTCTCTCAAGTATGGTACCGGACCCGTGAGGTTTAATAGACTTGAATCTTAGTAGTTTCATCGTACAAGAATCAGTTTATCGGCTTTTAATAGTAGTGATTAGATAAACGAGTGGAAAGTAGATTAGAAAAATAGTAATGAAGATAATTAGCTTTATTTTTGCCTCTCGGGCCTATCAGGATGTCCATAGTAAAAACAAAAAAGGAAACCAATGAAGTTAAGAATAGAGAAATAGTCTAGCACACGAAACGTTTTCAACACATCTGAATATTTACTATTATAATAAGGTGCTCTAATAGGTTTTCTTTTACAAATTTTACCATGAGTATGTTATAATTTTTCGACGTTTTTCTTGCTACAATTAGTTGATTCTACTCTTTAGAGAATCTGTTTGTTGTTTTGAAGACGCGTTTATTATTTTTCTAATAGTGAACAGAAAAATAGATGTGAAAGCACTGAATAGTCAAATAATGAACAAGATATAGAAAGTTTTACCTACTTTATTTTTTCTTGTGTAAATAGTACAAGAATTTTGTGTATGTTGGATGAATTTTGAAAATTACTTTTTAGCTTTCTAATTTACTGTGAGCTTAACCTCAAAACCTGAAATGAAATATTATTGGAATTATCGAATTAGCCTTAAAACATTTATGAAAATTGACTAATTCATTAAAACTTCTGTAGTTAATATTTATGCTGAAAAAGAATTTTTTATCTAATAACTTAAACAATTTATTGCTTGTTTCAAACCTATAGAGAACAAAATAGTACTCCTTATACACGTTCCTTCAAATGTTCTGTTCACTAACACTAAAAACCTAATAAGATGTATTTTTGTTTCAGGAAATTGCTGTTTTTACAGTAAAAAAAAAAAGTGTGCAAACTTATGTTCAATTTTTACATAAATGTCTTCATAATTTTTCTCTGCAGAGAGAAAAGAGACATGAGTAAAATTTGATCTTACCAAGTTCCGATACGCTTCGTCAACTACAAAAACATCTTTCCTTACTTTAGTCGTACAGTACTCTTTCTGATGAATGGTTCATACATCTTTTTTTTTCTTCTGTTTCTCTTATTCAACGTATGATTTTTATGATATTTTTTATTTTTATTTCAGAATCTGTGATGTCAACAATGTCGAATATAAAAGATCGTTGCCGATTATGTTATATATTATTAAAAGATACATTTCATTATAAATCATGTATACATCATTTCTACAATATTTATACATTACGTGATCTTATACCAACGACATCACCATTACAATCTACTTCTTCATCATGCGATTCAATTCATCGTCACTATACTTCATCAAATCCATCATTGTGTAAAATTCGTTATCGTGATTTAATTGTACAATATTTATGTATTCAATTGCCTGATGATATTGAAAATGATCAATATTCACATATTATTTGTTATTCATGTTCGGATTTATTAAATAAACTCTATTTAACATACCAAACATTTTCAAGTACACAAAAATTATTACGATGTAAATATCGAAAAACATTACAAATTGTTAATCAACAATTACATTATTATGAACAAAAAGTATCAACAAAAAAATTATTATCAATAACAACATCTACTGCCAGTAGAAAACGTTCCTATTCAACATCCGAATTAATCGTGAAATCAAAACAAAATGAACAACGTTCACGTACACAATCGGTATCATTAGCAAAAAGAAATAATTTTGAATTAAAAATTTTGTCTTGTAAAGAAAATTTAGATTCATCATCGAGAGAATCAGTTATTCCAAATGACTCAGTCATCACAACAGTAACAACTGAAGCTGTTACAGTGTCGACTGCTACACGTTCAAAACGAAAAGGTGAACCGAAACATATTCAGTTAAATAATAATGCTAATAATGGAACAAAAAGTGTTCAATTAATTGTTAAAATGCCATCCACACCATTAAAAGCGACACAAACGAGAATGACGACAAGAAATTCCTTATTCCAACAAGCAACATTAACATCCTCGATGATAAAACATCGTACAAGTCCAAGAAAAAAAAATCATTCAAATAGTGGTGATAATGACGATAGTGCAAGTAAACATAAGAAGAAGAAATTTAAAAAAGATTCAAAAAAAAATTTCATTGTTGAACCATTGGAAATAAAAAATGTTATTACACAAGCAAATGAGTTAAATACGTTAACAATAGTAAGTTTGTGTATTGGACAATTTAGATTTTCAAAATAAATAAAAGAGTAAAATATCAATAAGTTACAGATTTAAGAATATATATCATCATCGTTTCGTCTTAGTTGCGATTGTTCTTCAAAAGTCAACTAAATTACTGTAAATTTACATTTTCTAGAAAACAAATGGTGAAGATAGCAAATCACATATAAATAATTATTCTTGTATCAATTTGTTGAAAGAAACAATGAAAACAAATGTATTATCTAATGAACACAATGATATTCAAAAACCAATAACAAATATGGCTCATTATTATGATCGATCAATAACGATACCAACAGCTCAATCACCTTCGAATTTATCTATTTTAACAAATGCAAATACATCGATCTCATCTTCCTCGTCATCTAGTCGTTTGTTGAATTCATTCATTGATCGTGCAACTAAAGGCAATCAAATTGAAAGAATAGTTGCATCATTACTTCCGGTAACATAGACAAAAAATAAGAGACGTTGTCTTAATTGAAAAAAATCTATCTTTTATTTAGAATACAAGTACATTTGATAGTGAATCAAACACGATAAACGATGGTCAGAATAACAAGGGAGATAATGATACATTATTGTCTAATAATCAAACTTCGTCAATTGGTATAGCAGATAACGCATGTAAGTTAAACAATAATTTTTATAAATTTTTCTTAAATAAATGTACCATAGTACATGTTCGAGAGCGATCGCCTAATATATTACATTTTTAGTTTAAATAATTTGATATTTGGTAAGATTTATAGTGTGCGCGTTTGACTTTGCATGCGAGAGCTAAGAGGGCTTTTCCCTTTTTTTTTGCTTTGTCCCTTAATAAAAGAAATGACCATATTATCTGTTGAACCAATTTAAGAATGTTGAAGTGTCGATGCACGATCTCTTATCCGCATGCTTCAGTTGATTTATCCTTCAATAAATCTAAATAAGTTATAGCTTTCGAAAGAGATGTTTAGTCACTGCGAAATGACACAATCAATTGGTGTACACATGTGAGATATGAGATACAGATTTATTTGATAATGTTTTATTCTTATGTTTTAGTATCAATGTCGCCTACGACATCGTCAAATAATCCATTGTCAAATCCTACGAGAACACGAGGTCGTCGTAAATGCGATAAAATTCCAATTTTGACAGTGAATACTTCCAGTTCAAAAAAGAGTCCATCAATAAGTGTTTCAACAGTACCAAATAATCATTTATCGCCATCATCATCATTATTATTATCATCGCCTTCATCAGTTCCTGTAAGTCCAAGAGATACACCACCTCCAGTTCTCACATCTATATCACCATCAGTTGTTTCATCCACATTGAAAACGACAAGGAAATCTCCATCTCCAGTGTTACTGAATGATGATCAAGATGATTCATCTGTATCGTCGACGGCCAGTACAAGCAGCAGCTGTAGTAATACAAGTGTTTCAACAAAAAAAAACATATCACGAAAAACATCAACAAATAAACAACAAAATTTAACATCAAGTATTTTAACAACACCAACATCGAATGGTCTAACAATAACAGCAATTAATCAGACAGGACAAAAACAAATATTTATGGCTAAACAATTAGGAAATTTGAAGAAATATCAATGTGGTCTATGTGAAAAAGTTGTTACAAATATTCAAATACATGTTCGACGTCACACAAATGATAAACCTTATCCATGGTAATTATATCTTGATAATTTGTTTTAATTTACAATGTTTACATCTTTATTTTTATATTTGTTTACAGTACATATTGTGAAAAAAGATTCACAAATTCGGGTGATTTACAAATTCATACAAGAATACATACGGTAATGTGAAATTTTATTTATTGTGTCGTATCCTAATGAATCTTAGTGTCTTCAAATAACATTTTCCTATTATTTTTATGATTTTTTTTTATTAACTTTCCAAACACACATGCTATTATTATTCATTTAAACTTTCTTTTTTCTTTTAGGGAGAAAAACCTTATAATTGCCCTCTATGTTTGAAAAGTTATCGGACAATTGGAAATTTTAATAGTCACGTTAAAACACATGATAGTGGTGTACGTCCACATCGTTGCGATTTATGTAATTCAACATTTAATATACCCAAAGATTGGTATTCACATCTACGTTCAAGTCATCGTTCATTAATACCGTCAAATTCATCAATATCATCCATTTCAACAACAACAACAACGGTAACAACAACAAATGCTCGAAATTTAATAAAAAATTCGTCATCAAACACTGCTGCTATAACAACAACAGTAACTCAACCATTATTTTCTAAATCATCATTGGTTCAACAACAAACTGAAATATTTGTACCAAATAAAGTAAAATTAGAACCAATTGATAAATGTGACGATGAATTGGACATTATGAGTGACAAAGATGAGGAACAAGAAGAAATGGATGATGAAGAAACGGATGATTTAGAAGATGAAAATCAACGAGATGATGAAGAACCATTAAATTTTTCAATAAAAACTGATCATAATGATATTTTATTAACATGTAACAGTAATACCAATAATCGTCAAAAAGGAACAAAACGTACATTATCAAAATTAGAACCAAATAAAAAACTAAGGAAACCATCGTCACATTATGATGTCATTGATGATCAATCAACAAAAAATTTATTAACAGCACCATTAGTTCATTCCTAGTCGTTTCTCTTTCTTTCTCTCTCTCTCTCTCTGTTTTATTTCTAACCTTGTGTTGTCTAACAGGAGTGTGAACAGTATTTAATCAAAAAATAGCGAGTTATTTGTTGATTTCTTCTTTCTTTCCCTGTTATAACGAACAACTCGTCATGTCTTTCTTTGTTGTCTGTTTTCTTCTTTCTTTTTTTACATGTGATTTATTCTCTTATTAATGTTGTTTTATCAATCTATTTTTAATGCCAAAACTAACGATACACAAATTCCTACGTGATTTTGCAATATTTGTTGTTTGTTGAAGAGTGATTATACGCAACAATTTTCTCTGTACATTTTTGTTTTCTTTTTTCTTCATTATATTCGATTGACATCATTCTGAACTGTATATTGAACGTAAAGATTAAACAGTATTTTATTTGTTTTTGTTTTTTTATTAGATAGAGTTAAACTAGATTTTAGAGAACAGTCAACATATTGTGTATCACATTGGTATCTTCGTATTCGTTCTCACTTTAAAAATATTCTATTTTGTAGTCATTTATATTTCTCTCTTCTAGAGCTAAATTGAGAGTAATTTTAAAAGAAATGTTTAAGAACAGAGTGTACATGAGATTGATTCTTTTCTTTTTTTTTCTTCTTCATGAATGAGCCTATATATATTTTTAATTATGAATGATTTCTGTTTTTCTTTTTCTTCATTGTTCTGGTCATTTTTTTTTTTTTGTTTTGTTTTGTTTTTTTATATAATTCAGAAAATAATAATTAAATATTTTTTATGTTCTACAAAATCAGGTTGTACTTGTTGTTTCTAGTATTTTTTTTTCTTTCCACTAATCACTATCTCTTTTTTTGCTCGAAACTAATCGTGTATTTGAATGATGTGTTTGATTTAATATTTAGGTCGTTTGTTGGACTGATAAGACCTGTGAGGAGTAGGAAGAAATTTTTTTTTGTAATCTATTTCCTTTAGGCTTTGAGCATCATTTGAGTCTGTGAGCCATTAAACTTCTACAGTTTTATTTCTTTCATTTTATGTTTGTTTCTTTAGCAATGCCACATAACTAGTCCTTATGTGTTTTTCTGTATTATGAGAAAATCCAAAGAATTGAGTTATTTTCTTATTTTTTTTCTCTAAAAAAAAATAAAATAAATTTCTTTTTCAATTATCATACACATAAATCATCTAAAATTGAAAGTATTTGCCGGTTCGTTGTGGCGTTCTTCTTTTTCTTTTTATTTCTTGTTGTTGTTTGCATATGATTCGGTGTTACGTGTTTTATTCTTTTGTTTTTTGTTTTGAAATGATTCAAAGTATATATGTTGTTATGTTCTGTTGTATATATATTTGAAACGATAAACAGATGAAAAAGAAAAAAAAAAACTTGATTAATGTGTTACAAAAAAAAAGTCAATTCGATTTGTCTTTTGAACGACTACAAGCTTATTAAGGGTCATCCCTCAGAACAAAAACTTTTTTGTCTTACATCCGATTTTGATACCACTTTCAGCAAATGTTTGCCATATCAAAGTGTGTTTATGAAATTTTTTTTCCCTCTCTATCTCTTACCTTTCCGGGGTTTTGCAGAATCCAAGGTCAAAAACCCACCCTCCACTATGAGGCACTTTTTTTTAATATACTTCAAGCTAGAGATCTCGGGTTGTTTTATTTTAAACTAAACACCTAACTGCGTGAACTGATAGGACCAGATTTTTGATTTAGGTTGGCTTTTTAGGGATCCAAGATCCTTAAAGCCCGAAAAATCCTTTCGGACTTTCCACTCAGTTTGACATGTTCACATGATACACTAAACTATTCTTATCTTTCTAAAATGTGAACCGGTTTCGATTTTCTAGAAAACTAAGGCTTAATTCAAAAATCTGGTCCCATCAACCCATGCAGTCAGGTGTCTAGTTTAAAATAAAACCAACCCGAGATCTCTAGCTTGAAGTATATTTTAAAAAAGTGTCCCATACTGGGCATGTTCGAACAAAAAACGTGTTTGGAGAGAAAACACTGTGCATTCGTTGGTCAGGTTTAGGACCTGTAGGAAAATGCTTGTAGTTTTTAAACGCAAGATCACACAGAGTTGTGCAACGTCTTATTTTGATCAAAAAAGTCTGCTCTACAAATGTACATGTCCAGAAAAATATTATTATTTGAAGATCCTGGTTTTCAAAGCTTCTAGAAAACTTGCTCAAAAATCACGAAAAATCAGTTTTGGGCCCAAAAGCGATACAGATTCTGAAAGTAGACACTCCAGGCTATCGTTTCATGTGCTTGTCTCCAAACTGATTTTTTGATACAAAAAGATTTCATTCTGAGGGGGGGGGCCTTAAACTGTCAAACAAAAGGGAAAGAGAGTAAACAAGTTAAATTGCTACATTAATATTCTAAATATCTTTTGGTATGTACAATAGTTTGTTTAGAAAGAATTTAAATATAGTATTATAACTCGTTGAAGAACCAACTTAATTCTGAAACAGACTATTTTTAAGAGTTAAGACTCGTTCTATATGATCATAGTTCTAATATGAACATCTATCGTTTTTTAAAAGTATAAATGCAAATAAATTGTATGATATGGTATTTTATTTTACACCACCAAAAGGCAACATTCAATTACAAAATTTCGAAACCAATGTCGAAAATCGTTGGTTAATATTTTTACAAGTGAGTGTATTCAATTAAGTCATAGAATATTCTGAAAACATAATTATTTATTTATCTATTGTTTATTTAGCTATTAGAATGTGATGACGATCATTCGGAACAAGTGAAATCAATATTAAATAGTATAACGTTCTTCGAGCAAACATCGTGTGTTCAAGCAAATTCTCCATACGATCGAATAAGTCATTTTGCATTAAGGTATTTTAAACTCAAATTCTCTTATTTTATCATAAAATTCATATTTTTTGTTTTTGTCTTCTTCTAATATATAGATTAATATGTACAACGCATAATTCATTATATAGAGTATGGTTACACGGTGAATGTATGCTATTTAGAATGAGATTAAAATCAGCAACAAAACATGAAATTGAAAATATAGCAAGACAATTATATCAATGGTATAATCGATATTCATCAGTCGTATGTAATAATGATGAAAATAAACAATTGTTTTATGAATCTATAAAAATATTAATAAATGGAATTATATCTCTTGATAAAAAACAATTTCCAAACAATGAAAAACCATGTTTAATTGAAAAAGAATTTTATCGACGACTTGTTCATTTAACATTTATCAATGATGATCATTATACAGAATTTAACTCAAATATACAGTATATCAAAGTTCCATTTATAGAAGTACTCGATCTAATATCACAACGATTAATTTATATTCATTTATCATACGGTTATGTACCAATTACAAAAGCTAAATGGATACTAATTTGGTTATTTCGAAAACATTTACAATTTAATCGAAAAAATATTGAACAATTTCATATAATTATTAAAAATGATCCAAGATTAATTTTATTAAAACAAAAATTAAAACAAAAATTTTATAATAAAATAAATTCTAAAACATTATCATCAATAAATATGCATTCAATACACTTAGTTAATACTATGAAATTTTTTGATGAACAATTTATTAATTTATATCCGCCATGTATGAAACATCTACATGAAGCTTTAGTTCGAAAACATCGTTTAACAAATTATTCAAGAGTATGTTTAATTAATTATACAGAAAATTAGAAATAGAATATATTTCTCCATATTTCATTCATAGGTTGTTTATACATTATATTTAAAAGAAATTGGAGTACCATTAGAACGGTGTATAGAATTATTTGAAAAAGAATATTCTACAACAAGTTGTCATTCAAGTTGTAATCATTCATGGCATAATGATAGTAAACGTTACAAATATTCGATTAGACATTTATACGGTTTAGAAGGAAGTAAAATTAATTATTCATCTCATCGATGTCGCACTATTCAAGTAAAGTGTAAAAAATATGAATAACAACTTTTTTTTTAAAGTATTATTATACTTCCATTTAGGATGATTCATCACGTACTACTCGAGATGAATTAGCTTGTCCATTAATTCATTTTCAAACACAAAATGAGTTAAATCAACTTATGTCGAATGAATTTACAGATGATATTTTTAAATTAAGATCGACAACATCTCCATCAACTATATGTTGTATATATCAACAAAAACTACAAAAAAAATTTCTTTCTGAACATGAAACTAAACAAACATCGTCATCATCATCATCATCATCATCAATAACAAATGATTTTGATATAAACAAAAATACAATTCTTCGTCCATCCGACTTTTTTCGAAATCTTTATCAATGCCATATTGATCAAGTTAAAAAATAATTATTTTTATGAGAATAATCATGTTTTTTTATTTTATATATAATTTATCTGACTTTTTATTATTATTGTCAAGTACATGAATGTGTATATCTGTTTATGTACACAGATAAGTAAATGTATGTTAAATATGATCTATAAATATAAAAATGTAATGATAGACAAAAGCAGAATATTGATATGAAAAAAAATAAATAATTTTCAAGATCAAACACTATATTTCATACGTGTCATCTGTTATCAACATAAATTTATTTTCTTTTTCTTTTCTAAAGATCTTGTTAATAAGTATGCAGAACTCAGTCTAATAATGCATAAATTTACCAATATTAATGAACGTATACATCTAAAAATCTATACTATTTTGAATAATACAAATGTATACGATTTTTATTCTTTTCAGACTTTTCGTTAATTCCACCGCCATACAAGGTCATTTTTAGAAGTTTTCTCATTCGATATAAACATGATCCGGCCACGATCCTCAATTGGGGATTTTATGTTAAAGTTGTAATTTTTATCTATAAAAAAAAAACAATACAGAAACAAACTGCTTATCAGTATGTAAGAAAATAATTAAACGCAGCACATGTTATGCAAATACTACATACAAAGAAAAAAACACATGAAAAACGCAAAAGAAAATGGTTTTTATCCAATATACCATATCGCAAAGTTTTTCCTATAAAAACAGAATGTATCACGATAGAAATTTAATCTCTCATAATTTTGTTGAGAGTACTACATATCATAGAAGAGAAAATGTTTTTTTTCAAATCTTTTTTAACAAGAGAAAAATATATTGCTAATTGGATTATATTTCTAGTGATAGAACAAACTGTTCGTAATACATTGAGCGAGAAATGAGCCTAATTTTTACTTTTGCAAATTTTCGATCACAGACAATATTTAAAAATTGGACCTGTCAATGAACTCAAATATAAATAAACTGGGATAGTCATAAAAAACACTGAATAAGTATAGTAGATTGAAAGTTAATACTCATCGCTCATTATTAAATTTTATACATGTCAGTGTGCTATGATGTTTAGTCCAATAAATATGCACTAAATTTTTGTTATAGTAAAGTGAAACTAAAAACTATATAACATCTTATCTAACACACACAATAGATCAGTCTTATAAAGTACTAGCAGAAGAGATTTTAGACAAGAGATTTAGACAGTTGCCTTCTAATATTTGTCGTTAACAAAACTGAGTGTTTATATGAGTAGTACAATAGTCTAGATAATAATGCATAAAAAAAAAAAGATCACACCAGTTTTCATATAGGAGATGAGCTAGAACTATTAGAATAATTTATCTTGTTCTATTATTATATTAGCCAATTTCTCATGTCTAGAAAGATACTATAGTGACAAGGTTATGTTACTTCATATAGGTTTTTTGTTTTTGTTTTAGAACTCCAAAAAATATTGGATTTTGATAGCTATGCAAAAATTCCATTAGCAAGTTTAATGGAATTACAATTCTCGTGACAGCTTGTGCGATAGTAGATATTGAGGAAGATTTTTTCCTAAAGTTCAAATCGAACTCTGTTTTGATAGTGAGTTTGTGAAGTGTAAGACTATATCCCATTTTAATGAATACTGACTACTTTGAAAAAATGTGCTTTCGTTCTTCTTTCTGCTGATCGTAACCATCTTCCATTGTTGTCTGGCTAGGTGGAACTTTTCTTGATGTGTAAAATGATGACTCTTCTTGCCCTGTGTGTAAATGATCCATATTCGTACTATATTTTTCTTTCTCTACAACAAACTGAGTATATAATTCTCTCACTATGTCGCCAACAATTAAATCTTGTCCATTTCGTGCTAATAGACGTAATGCAAAACAACCATCTTCTTGTAAATACTCTTGAACAAATTCTCTTATTAACACTTTGTCATTATCTGTTCTAGTATTTATATCACCATCTGTTGATCGGTTCATTGCTAATTTTCTACGTACATAATGTGTTCGATTATCAGCACGAATGAGACGTCCAAGCCACGCTAATAAATCACCAATATTAAATGCAGCTAATAATAGAATCCAAAACCATAGAATTAAAAATATTTTTTCATTAAATAAATTAATTGGTAATACACATTGTACCGTATACCGATGTACAATACCAATTTCTCGAATATGAAAATCACATAATGTCACTCGTGGAAAACGTTTACTCTCACCCCAATCTTGACCACGAACAAATTTTTTTAATACTTCAATTCCGAATAAATGATAATCATTACCAAGAAAGGCATTTAATAAAAATATTTGTATTATAGAATTTGTTAAATATAATATTTTAACAAATGTAAATAATAGAACTAAATAACAACTTAAACGACGACTTGTCCAAAAAAAAATAATTCGACCTAATTTTTTTCCCATATTCTCTGATTGTCTACTTTTTACTGAAGAATATTGTGCGGATGGTGAACGATAATTATAACGATGTTTAACATAATGCTGAATTGAACCAACAATATACTTAATTGTATCTTGTTTCTTTTCATGTTGATCGGCTTGTTCTTGTTTCATAGCAGCATCAACTAATTTTTCAATATCAAGACCGGATTTATTATTTAATGAACGCCATAACATACGAGGAAAATAAAAACAGAATGCCATAAACATTAAAATAAATGGTGACCTAAAATAAATTTTAAATTTTATCAGATTTTACTATGTAAAAGAGTTAAAAGATATCTAACTTACCATTGATAATACTTTAACATTCCTAGAATGAATTAAGAATAGATGCCGGATGATTTAAACAATTTTATTACTCAAGGACTAATGGATAAATAACATACTTTCATATCGTCTTGTTTCCACATGTGGTATATCATCATTCATTGGTACATAATACGTGTTCATTATCCAGCATATATCATTGGCATATTTTTCATAACTTCCCGTAAATTGTGCTGGAACCTATTAAAAAAAAACAAATAAAAATATTTAATTTAGAGAGAATATAATGTTGAATATATACCCAACAATTTATCGGTGATCCAAAATATTGTTGAGTTGTGACAACTGCAGCAAAAAATATAATGGCTGTTACGGTGTAACGATGATTTAGACGATCGATAAATACATCATCATTACGAGTTGAATGATGTTTTCCTGCATTGAATTTTTTTGCAACGTCAAGTAAATCCATTGTTTTAGAAATATAAACTGACTAAGAATAAAAAATTGATTTTTCCCACTAGTTTATGTTAGTCTGTAGATTTATTATGATGGAATTTATTTTCTTTTGTAATCTTGAGATATAAAGTTTAATTCAATGATCAATACACTGGATCATAATCGTTTAGTTTCCATAAAACTTATTTTATTGGAGTTAACCATTAATCACAATTAGCACCATTCGATAGCTATCTAAAAGAGTGAAAAAAAAAATATTTATTTATCATAAATATCTGTGAAAATACAAACTTTAAAACAAAACATTCGTGCATGTACGTAGAGATGCCAAAAAGATCGATAGCCACATCCGAAGTGAATTAGAGAGTTTTTTTTTTTTGTAAAGATCATATGAGAAACTGTTTAAATTAAGTTCTAGCTCTCTCTTCTTTATATTTTATGTTTTTTTTAGTCTGTTAGACGAGGACATATTGTCGTCTTTTTGTTAACTACGTCATCTTAATCACATAAATAGATTTATCTTAAGCATTTTACTCACATAAAATATCTTCTTTATACGTTCTTTGATTGAGAGACACAGATTGCTCATCCCCATCTAGTAGATTTAACACAATATTTTTAATTTTACAAATACAATTCATACATTTAATATTCGTTTGTAAAACAAGAAAATATGCATATAACTTCATTTGGAGTAGACAAGTCTGAAAAAACCAATTAATTTTCAATATTTTTGATTTATCTATGTATATTTTTTTTTAGTCCCTAATAACCTCTCAATTTTTCTTTACATTTTAACATAAAATTATGTTTCACATTCTTTCATTCTGTAGTTCATCTAATAAAAACGTCAATTTCATATGATAGAACTATCCACGATCACCATCAGAGAATGTATTTTTCAATTATTTACATCATGTTTTTGCGGTATACCAATAATCGACCTCTTATTTTATTTTTTTATTTTATTTCATTGCTCTTCTTCCTTTGTGAAAAAAATAAAATAAAATAAAAAAGGTGATCATTCCCGATTATGAATACACTTACATATGAGTTGATTACATCATATTCTATTACACATACATTGAGAGCTACATCATATTTATCTTGGAATTTGTAAAAGGATTGTTTTAGCAAAAAAGAACCTTCACATTTTATTCACTCACACATAAGCACATCAATGTTCGTCATCCTCGAAAAAAAAAAAAAAGATTATGGTTTCATCTATATAGTTTTCATTCACTTTATCATAAATAAAATAAAATAAAACAAAATTATTTTAAAATAAAGTGTATCTTTATCATTAGTCTTTTTCTTCTTTTAAATTATTTCATTATAACATCTTGATTAAATAGGTCAAATTAAAACAAAAAAAAAATAAAATCGAAAAATGAATAAAGCACATGTCATAGGTGCCTGTCAATAACAAACATGTGTTTGTTCTTCGTGTTATTGTAAAAATAAAGATATACTATTTAACAACATATTTCGTACTGAATCGTAGACGAGACATGATTTAATAATGTGACATCGAGTACATCAGTGCAATGGAGTCAACTCTATTATATTAGAACATTAAAGATAACAAAAGATTTTGCTCACTGATCTTCGACATGAGAAACTTTATTTATGTTTCTGTGATTGTAAGAATGTAAAGGAACCGCTATCTTGAACCGGGAATTTTTAGTTCATAATAATATACTTAGTTATCTCATAAAAACTCCATCGATAACGCATTTATGGATATATGAAGGACAAAACGAAATGTTCTACGTAAAGTCGAAGAAAGAGAGTTAATTGTAAACAATACAATTCTTTTATAATCTTCTTTCTCTTCCATTAGTGAATCATTGTTAGTCTAATTCGTTCTAAAATTTGAAATAATCTGCATTGTCATTTGTCTGTCTGTGGTTTTAATTGATAAAAATATTACAGAATTTAGTTTGAGGTTAATTTTGAGATATACTTTAAATTTCACTTACCTAATCTACTCTGACTCAGGATATTATAAAAAAAAAAAAAAATTTATATTTTCAAATTAAAATTATTTATTGGCAAAGTGTGTAGAGCGTATACAAATCAAAATAAAACGAATTTTTTATTTTTTAGGATGCATCACCTACACATTTAAGTACGGACGGATATGTGACACGTAAGTTAAAAGAGGAAAAAAAAAGACAAAAACCGCATATCGCACAATGCAAATACAATCTAAACTTAAAAAAAAAAACGAAAAAAAGTAATTTAAAAAATACTCTCCAAAATAGAGTGGTCACATACAAACATGTGTGTGTGTGTGTGTGTGTGTGTGTATCGCGTACACTTCGAAGAACAAAATTCTTTTTCTGTTGTTGTTTTACATAGATAGAATTACAGATTTTCAATGATCAAAATTAGGGATGACAGTTTTTTAATGAGTAAAAATAAGTTGGAAGAACACGAGGAAGAATGGAACTTTATCTTTGTTGTTTGATGCCACTTAATAGTCGTATTTGATAGCAACGATTGAATATCTTATAAAATGAATGATATTTACTTATGATAAATCTACTTTGAATATAAGAGCAGTATGTAATAAAAAAGTTAAAATGCATACTACTTGGAACAAATTGATTCAACAAGAAGAAGAAATTTTGATAAAAAAATTTAAATATCCAACAAATTCCAATCCGACTTTTTTTCCAGTATAATTGTAGAAAACAAGAGTCTAATTTTAACACTAATATCTTAATTATAGTGGCATAGCGAATGAGTCATAGAAGGGTGTATGTGAGGGTGAGGGGAGGGAGAATATTTCCTCTAAATATTTTAGCACCAAAACTAAAAATTTTTAATTATCTACTGAGTTTGCTTAAACGTTTGAAAATTTTTCAAGAAAAACCATGGGTACGATGCTCTAATGATTATTTTACCTTGTGTTGTTGTTTATAGGTGTAAAGCAGAATTCAAGTTTTATTTTTGTATTTGTACTTGTATCATTTGTATTTGACTCCAAACCTCTAATCATCCGAAATCCATAGAGAAGAAGAAGAAAACTGTTATATATAGTACAGTTCAAAAAATGTTCTCTGCGTATAGAGAATCAACGATAAACCTGAAGTATTTTGATCATGCGGAGGACAACTTCATCGTTCTCCTGCATATATTATTATTATTATCTCTTTGACGATATTGAAATTGTTGAGTAGTAAAGAATGATTAAACATCATATTCAAAGGACATGAATAAATTTTCAAATAATTTCGCTCAATAAACGTGTTCTTCTTACCAGTAACAAAGGTTGAACTGTCAAATTCGCATAAGAATGTTGTAAATCATTTTTAGCATATTTTTATCAGGTGGATCGATGAATAACGTGATTTAAATTAAATAGTAAAATAGATACAATTAATTCATGCAAAAAACCATCGTTAATAGATTTGTCGGCTGTAGTGTATTTTGCATTCTATTTTATTAATGATATACAAGTATCATCAGTGCCTTGCCGATAATTTCTTTCGGTAGAAATAGTCAGTTATTACAGATCATCAGTGAAAATATCTCTTACATTTATGTCTTTTTACAAAAAAACTATAGCGATCATAAAGAAAAATCCATGCTAACAAATTTTCGTCCGCGAATTAGAAATAGTATGGAAAATTTCATGCGTCGCCATTTGACCACGCTATTCTCGTTTATATATCAGAAATTAAACAAATGTATGAATGAACATACTTTAATAATCATAAAGAATAGTTAACCCCTTACTCCCGAAGGGGATTTTTTTGAAGATCCAGGAAAGACGGCTACTAAAGTGAACCTTTGAGTACTCACTATGCCCATTCAATACTTAAAATAAAATGAAGTTGCCTAGGAGACAGAATACAGAATGTCCACAGGTGTGGATGTTAAAGCTGAACAACATGCAAAACGCAATTTTTTTCTCTTTGTTCTCCGAACTTGTTCAGTTAAAATTCAATATTTTGACAAAAACAAGGTTATATTCGGACTCAGCATCAAAAACTCGGTCGAATGATATGGGTCTCAGAGTTTTGGAAATATCTTGAGTGAAAATTTCGGTTTTGGATTTTTGAAAGATTCTTCGAGATCATTCGAAAGCCCTGAGATCCAGGTCATTCGACCCAGTTTTTGATCTTGATCCCGAATATGACCTTGATTTTGTCAAAATGTTGAAGTTTGACCAAGAAAATGGCAAAGTACAGGCCCAATTTAAAAGTGATTTTCATTGAATTCATAAAAATTGAATTTTTCGTCAACGGAGTAAAATTTTTCATTACCGATACATCCTTTTTTCTCTCAAAAGTATATTAGTCAGAATGAAGTATGAAAGAAAATTTTATCTTCTAAATCTTGGGGCTACATAGCTTTGCAGGATTGGCCAGCGGGCCTTTTACTATTCTGCTCGTCTTCAACGGTTCTCGAAGTCATTTGAGTTTTGAAATTTCCAAAATCCATTTTCTAGGGTTCGTTTTTGATGAAGAGTAAGAAAAAATTTTTTTGGAATTTTAAAAATAGAATGAATGGCCGAATTTTGAGTTTTATTCAAAATGTTGCCTATTTTCACCTATTTTTGAAAAATCGATATTTAACATTTTTTTAATGGGAAAATGTGTTCCAAAATTGTTGGATTAAATTTTTTCTATGCGGCGCGATTTGTTCCATCCATCGCAAAAAAGAGAAAATAAAATTCTGCACCTTAGAAGAAATATGTTTATGTTTAAAAATTAGTTCGTTCTATGTCCCTCTCTCTTTAAAGTTCACAAGTGTGGACATTTTTTTTACTGACACGATGTTTCAACGCAACATGACAGAAAATTTCTTTTGCTGTATAATTATAGAAAGGATCCTTACAGCAATAGTAATCAACAACTACATTCAAAAATCTTTTTATTGTTAAATCTATAGAAAAAGATTTTAAAACTTTAACAATTGCAACTCTTTAGTTTTAAAAGTTAATTATCTTGGTCAAGATCCATAGAAAGAAAACTTTCCTTTTACTAATCGAGAGCTGAT